AAGCAATAGTAACATGCTCGCGGCACAAAAATTAATGAATGTCAATTTTAGAGGCAAGCACTCACTGCTAAATGGATTCCTGAGGAAACCGAGAGAGAAAGAGGAGAAACCACAAGAAAGAGGCGATGCCAATGCAGCGTCGACAATTGTATCAAAGACCAGCTCATCGCACTCGACACTACAAGTTGCTGACCCTGCTCCTACCCCCTCCGAGTCTCTGTTGAAAGTTGTCAAGGACTCGTTCCACGCGTCCTCGCTTGAGCGAGAGAACCATTTCCAGTCTCAGCTCGAATATCATAATCAAATCTTCCAAGCTGCAGAATGGGAGCGAAATCAGGATGAGGAATCCCGGAATGTAGTATTTCGTCAATTTGGCGTTGATGTGCAACGAGATTGGTCAACAAGATTGCAAGAGATTGCGAAGGATCTAGATACCTGGCAGTTGCAATCTCATGATGCTTCTCTGAAGCAGCAAGCTTCGAGGGATCAGATCTTCCATAATGGAGTAGAAACACGGGAAAAGTTGTATAAAGATGGTTTTCAACGTAGAGCACTGGACCTCAAAGAATCTGAAGAGAAGAGAATTCAGGCATATACGAGAGCAAGCGAAAAGCTGAAAATGATACGCTTGGAAGTGAGGCGAACAATGGAAGTCAAGTTCAACTTGTTTCTTGCTGAAGAGAGGCAGAAATACGAGGAGGATGAAAAGAGGAGAAACAACATAGTCAAGAGAAAGTTTGTAAGTTGATCCTTAATGTGTCACTTCTCTCTGTAGCTCACAAAATACTCGAGAACCTCGATGATGTCGATTCTGCAACAGACACCGCTTTGTCAATTGCAATAAATACAGACAGTGAAGACGCAACTCGCATTGACCAACTGTCTACCCATATGGACACCATCTCGATCTCTTCACATCTTCCTTTACCAATTTCGATTCATCATACAATTCTGCCAACACTTTCAAACGATCCCTCAGGAAACCCCAAGATCGAACTAAGCGCTACCATGCTTACGGCTTCAGAACCTTCACTATCCTCTGTAACTCACAGCTTCTCCGATTTCTCTTCGGCTGCCACTCCCATTATAGAGGGATATGACAACCATTTATTCCTGGCTACCAACATCTCTGATCATCTACCTGCAATTACATCATTTAGGGACTCATCTCCCTCTCCTCATTCAACCTCTCCTTTCCCTTCCTCTTCTCCCCTTCCTTCTATAAGTACAGGCGAACTGACTTCATCAGACACAGTTGGCCATGATGACTATGGTCAACAGCGTCAATCTCAGTCTCTTTCTGAAAGACTTAAGGTCCTAGATGCTTCAAGGTCGAGTTCTTCCTTCCTTGACACCTTGCAAGATACCAAATCTCCATTGAATTCCTTTCAAGATCACATCATAGCATATGAATCGACATTTGTTCAACATCAAAATGAACACGCTATCCAATTCCAATCAGTTGAAGAACTGCGCGATAGTCTCTTTCGTGAATCCCAGTCTCATTTCGACACGCACCTGCAACCTAATCGAATCAACTGGTTTCGAACTGTACGTTTAAATTACCAACATAGATTCGATACGGACGTGGAGAAGCGGTCACTCCGGGCTCACCTTTTTCAACAGAGGAGAGACAGAGCGGAAGACAGCAGACAACTACGGTTCGAATGGGAAATTCAACAAAGTCAACACACGAGGTTTCAAGGCCAAACCAATGCATTATCACTGAAATTAAATGCGCTACATTCAATAAAGTTTCGGGTTTTGAAGAAAGAGGGAGAGGAGATGGATAGTTTCCTCCGGATGTTGCAAGCCGAAATAGAATCTACACTGACATGCTTCAGAGGGGACTTCTCAGATGCTCAAACTGGGAGACGTTGGAAATTGAATCTACGCACGCTGCAGGGAGCGAGACCCGCTGCAACAAGGATCACGGTGGCATCTTGGGCGGATGATGTCGATGAGTCGGATGATGATGAATGGACCGAAATATCTCCTCCCGGTTTTATGGGCTACTATCCATCTTTCGACCCTCAAAATTTTGGGATCTCACCTTATTCTCATCACAGACGTAAAAGCGCAAGCGGGTATAACATATCTCGGCTGGTATGTAACCATTCCTCAAATGATTTTTCGTATCAAGCTGAAAATGAGTGATTCAACAGGAACCAGAACGAACTATATTTGTAAGTCAGCGACTTATTCTACCTATATTATTAGATGATTGATCATTATCATTCTCTACGTGAGATAGGCACCTACCTCATTGTTTGTGAACATGTTTTCTTCGACTACTCCTTTCTTCAAAACGAGAAAAAACAACTATTCTCCCAATTCATCACTGAACGGATACAAAAAATCCCCAGATACTGCGATCGAACTTGTCAAATTTCTAGATTCATCCACAGATCGTTACAACAGTCGTTGGCGCGAGAGAGAAGATGCATTCAATGTACAACAAGAAGCCCACAAAACTATTCATAATTCAAATGAACAGAAGCGTAACCAAATATTCACCGCAGGCATGTCAGAGTTCGAGGAAATGCGACAAACACAACTATCTGATTGGACCAACAAGGTGATTGAGGTCAAGCAAGAGTGGAGCGAGTTGTCCTCGAAGGCCGAGGAGAACAGGGAAACGAAATTCAAGGAGATGGAAATTCAAAGGGCGGAAATGTTCATGAAGAGCGAGCTTGAAAGGTCGAAGAAGTGGGAGGAGCTGGTTATGACATTGAATGAAGCATTCATCGAAGCAAACCAGAATTTGGACGAGGAATTTTTCAAATGGCAGTCAGATACTGAGCAGATGTTTAACAAAGAGATGGAGAAGTGGCGAAGGAGTTTTTCTTCGTTACAGGCAGAGTTTGAACACACATTCGTCGAAATGGTGCAGAGTGCAAAAGAGCTCACGTCCAGACAGGAATCGGATTCTTAATGTGAATCAGTGATATTTGGATGACTGCTCTGTATAACTTTTATTATCTCGAAAAATCGAATGTACCGAAGCAGTCACACTCTATTCACCACACACACTCCGAAGTGATACGTTCAGTTTCATCCTGCCTATTCAAGTTGAGTGAAATCGGGAGGCGGCATTCGGTATCTAGGCTACACAGACCGTTTGCGGTCAATAATAAAATAATGCATAAACTTAAAGCTCAGTCTAATCAGACAACACACATAACCCACCGATCCAAATATATGAACGATTGAGGGGGGACGTCAGGTTCACCGTTCAACTTCAGTTGAACGTTGGTTGGACCCGACTTGTTTCTTCAAGAACCACTGATTCAAGCGCTAGCATCCCAAAACTGGCACGAAAAACACGAGGCTACTGAACGCCCTGACAGTAGCGCACACTACCTGGCCAAGTACTTTCTAATGGTAACTCCTACATCTTATATCTACCCAACATTTTGGCACACATAGAACCTTTAAATATTTATTCAGGTGTAGAACGCAGTGTTGTTTGTTCCGTGAATTTCTCTGCAATATTTGCTTGTATAGTGCACTGAGTAAGCATCGATACGAAGTACAATGAGTTTCTAGGTTAAACGCATTCCTACAGAAGCGCTTCAATTCAAACAGAGTCACTGTTATGAGCAGCAGAAATAATTATCAACAGCTGAGTAGAGGTGTAGGGAGGTGGAATACTGTCAGTGCTGGCAAGGGGTCGAGTTGCGATCTAGCGGAGATAAATAGGAAGAGATTGACATCAGCAGATGTCCATGACAATGATGAGACAAAGATAAAACAAAATACTTGGCTATGTTCTCCCCCATCAGCAGTCCAACCCTTTTCCTCATCATTTGTTTGTATCCTTCATTCAGTGATATGATCAGCTTATTGTTAATTATGCAAATAATTCAACATACGTGTAGACATTCTCCCCATGTTGCGGTTGAGCAGTGAGAACATATTTCTCAGGCCGTTGGGTGAAGGGATCGAGAATAGCAAAAACACGGTCATCTTGAATGGCAGTAAAATCTCCTCTAGTACTGAAGCGGTATCGATCTTCACCCATCTTCTCAATATTCCACTACATATGTAGAGAATGCGAGAAAGTCATGAGAAAGGTTAAGATGATAGATGCACATGAACATACAACAGGAGCGATAGTAATTTGTTCCTTGATGTTTGGAAGTAAAAAAATCGCTTTGTCATGGAGAGACCTGTCCTCTCCTATGGCTCTCCCGACGACGTACTGTTCCTCAACCATTGAGGTTATGGTATACCAGCCTGGTTCCATGTGTGATGCACGTTCGTCTGATGAAGATTCGGGTGGTACTATCGGATGCGACTGTAAGACTTGAGCTTTTATACGAGTCCCTACGCGTTGAATGCATGTGTCACTGTCAATACTGTAGTGTCACTTTAACAACACGACAGGTCAATTTAAGCAGAATGAGGTGCTCGAATGGTGTTAACTAGTTCCTCGATGTATCAATCCAGCGATTGATTTACCAACGATTTGGAGAAGCTGTCAAACAAGAAAGACCGGGAGACATAGCATTTTCGTGGTTTCTGTAAGCGGATACTGAGGTCACATACAGGGGCCACATCCAAGTCAAGTCAATTTGTATCACCGACGATGATGGTTTGACTAGAGATTGATTTCGTACAATGACTCTGTCGAAAATACATGATAAGACTTCAAGCTTCAAGCTTCAATGCGAGCCAGAGGCGTGGATTTCGGAGTTCTGGAGCCTTGGGGAAACCGACACCAGATGACTGCCTCGTTTACAAGCAATATGTTACTTACGTTTGATGTTTGCACCTTACATATGCATGCTTCAGACTGGCAAGGCAAATGATACAGCTGCAACGAAAGGTCCAACTTGATTAATGTTTCTCAGTAGACTGTTATTGATGTATAATTGCTTGTTCACGTCACTAAAAATGCGGTCACTCATTACATGTGAGAACCGACCTTTTCAGCGAAACGTAGCATGTGGAGGAAAGAAACAAAAACCTGGTAAGATGGTATGAAAAAAAGGAAATGCCCACTACCCGGTTTGAACGAGTGACCTCACCATAGCCGAGGAATACGAGTGGCGCGCTCTACCACTGAGCTAAGCGGGCGGATGTTATTTCTTAAGGTGAATGTACCATATCCTAGAAATATCTGGAAGGAGCGACAGTATAAACTTACTATTGTATACGAGTACAGCCAATTTGACTACGAAGCTTGCGAGTGAAAGATACATGCGTTGAAGAATAGAAAATCAAATATAAAAGCAGTAACGCGAGTGAAAAAGGATCCCTCCAAAAGTTGAAATCATAGCCGTGCACAGCACTGGAATGATACTCATGCAGAACCGTTCGCTACTCGAAGTTGCTTCTTTGCTGTGCCAATCGTCGTATTGTTGACCTGATGAAGAAGGAAGTGAGCCAAAAGGTACATATAATGACTACAACAAACGGACTGACCTTCGTAGCGAACCGGAGGGAGCACAGAGATTCATTGAGATGTGTAGCCAGGGGTGAAAGGTTGAGCACCATCTAAAAAATATAAGGAATCAGTCCACTATCCTTGACACGAGGTATCTAGAATGGAAGCTCACCAAAGTCTTCGAGTTACCACTCAGAGAGTTTTGTAATAGGTATGTCAACTATGCAACAAAGTAAATCAGCCATTGGCACCCTAAGTGAAGAAATGAATTGGTTTACCTTCGAATTCCTGTACGGAATATGCTTGTCACCCTTCCCTTCACCCTTTTCACCGAGCGCAGCAATAACATCTCCTAGTGCACTCAAACTCTTATTGATAGCCTGAGTTTCTCTCAGCCTCTCTTTATCACTCCCAGCGCCGCTCTTCTCCAATCTTTCACTTCCAGCCAAATCAACAAGGTTCAAGCTACCTTCACAAGTCTCTCCAGTCATCTTGTTCTCTCCCTGAATACGTAAAGTAAACACGGAGTGTGAGCGTGATGAACGTTCGTTCATTAAAGTCGAAGCGACAGTTCGACGAGATTGTGCCAAGGCTAGTAACGAACGAACTTGAGATGGTGAAGATAGCGAGAGGACGTTAACGTCTGTCACGGTTGTACGACCAGACTTGAAGTCGTGCTTAATCTCGTGCTTCTTCTTGTCGAATTCGCCCTTGCCTAAAAGGTCATTGATGGTCTCGTTGTACTAGATCAGAAGCAAAGACGTTAGTATTAATGTCGACAAATTATACTGTGGCAGGGTATTCACAATCTCCAGCATTTGTCCCTCCATCGTGTACTCCCATCCTTTCTTCTTCAGTTCATCTGCAACTTCGAATACTTGTTCGACCGCTCGAGGGATCATGCCAGCGGTAGCATCGGTCTAGAAATGCATTAGTAGGCGTTATAGAATTGGAAAATCATGCGACTTTTCAAAAAAAATGCAACATACGGGTCCACCTTCCATGGTAAAGGACTTTCCAGAACCTGTCTGGCCGTAGGCGAATACACACACGTTGTAACCATCAGTACAACTTTGAGCTAGCTGAGAGATCTCCTCAAAGACCTCGCTTTGCGTTGAATGCGGTTCAAACACCTACACCGTTACAAAGGCATCAGTTAAGATCCAAAATATGCAAGTGCATTCAATAATCAGTTCTCACTTTGTCAAAGGCGAATGCCCATTCATCCTTCCTTTCCTGTCCAGTGGCGCTCTCGCTGGACGAGCTTACGACAATTTCTCGATGATCGAGCTTGTCTGGGTATACAATATCGGCCTTGACAGTCTCGGCCAATCTCTGGGTATCATCGGGGGAACTACTTCGAGAACCACAGTCGCTTCCGGAGGAAGAATGAGAACTGAAAGGTAGATCGGAAGCAAGAATTGGTCTAACACGACAGAACACGCGAATATTGCCCTACACAAGAATTGAAATCAGTTTTGAGATGAAGACATCACGAATAAGCTTACCTTGAGTTCTTGAACCATGTTATGAAGTTTCCTTCGCAGTGTTTCCGCCTGTCGCGTCTCCTGTTCTAACTCCTCTATCCGCTTCTGTGCAGTTTCCAGCTTAAGCTCGGTGTTCGACTTTTGGTTCGAAGACATATCCAGGGCTGTCTGGAGAGCAGTGACTTGTGCTTGCAAAGCGGTGATCTGGGTGGTGAATGTGATTTGAGCTGTCGACTGGTGAGAAACCGTAGCTTTCAAAGTCGAAACCGTTTCTCTCTCCCTCTCCAAATCACTCTTCGCCATTCTCAGATCCTCTTTCAACTCTCTGTTCTCTCTGTCCTTCTTTTTGAGATCCATCTCCAGATCCATCACGATATTCGCATGCTTCTTCTTGAGTTGGTCTATTTCCTCACTCGCATCAGCGAGTTCACGTCGACGATCTATATCTTGAGTCTTCGCAGCTGCCAATTCCCTTGACAACGCAAGATGGTTCTCTTGAAGTTCTGAAAGTTTAGCACGCTCAGCTTCCATATCTGCGGCCAGGCGTGCGGCATCGGCAGCTCGAGCGGTTTCGATGGAAGTGACTTGTTGTTGGAGTGCATTGAAACGTTGGTCGTTGGTTGCGCCGGAGCCAGAAGGTGTTCGACCTGCAATAGGTCTGCGAGTTACGGTTGGGCGAGATGTGCTTGCTGAAGATCCAGGTCGGGTTGGAGGTGCGCTCGTCGCGCGCGTGGTTCTCCTGGTTGTTGCTGTTGAAAGTGGGGGTCCTCGAGGTCTTGTAAGAGGTGGTGGGCCGGTAGTAGTTCGTTTTGTAATGTTAACATTGGGGCCGGTCTTAGAATCTTGAAGAGGCTGTTTCGATTCTGGAATAGGTGCGAGTCGTTTGCGAGGTTGGACATCGGTGGCCCCGTCATCAACTGCCTTGCGCTTGAGGTTGGTTGAGTTCATCGTTGGCACCGACGACGAGAGTTGATGATGACGGTCAATATCAGGATTTGGCCGTGGTAAACGAGACATATTTACAGAATAACGTTAAGTGTTAGGCGTAAGAAATTCGACAAGCCCCAGAAAGCCGAATCCAACATTGTTCACGTGGACATAGTCATGTGATCGTGTTGTTTCCGTTTCCGTCTGGCGCCTATTCCTCAAGTCTCGGGCGCTTCCTCTCCTCGCTTTCTTACTTCTCCATGTGAGTAGTCGTAATCATTTTCCAGCTTTTTAACGGACTAATACTTACCAGTTCAGACAGTACATAAAACCTGATGGAAGCATTACAGACCACTAATGAACCGCGACAGCGTCCTCGCAAACGCATTACTCGCAGAGGGATGTCATTCGGCTTTCCATTAGACGACGAAAAGGTGGTCAGACTTGGCGAAAGACTTTTCCTTTGGTCGCCCGACGTCTCTCCAGAAGAATACGACGAGGCAGATCCCGAGCGATTTGAGGAAGCCCTTTTGTATATTGCGGAATTATCCGGGGACTGTATCGGTCAACGAGGTTGCCCAAATGAAGTATACGCACGGGATGGAAAATCGTGCATAGTGTTGTTTGCATTCAAATTTCAGCTAGGGCCAGATGATGTGGCCACACTCAAATCTGCATTAGCAGAGGAAGGTGTTGACCTGATTGACGGCGAGCCTGGTTGGTACCACCTCTATGGCTACTCTGGATTCTGGTACGTTCCTCTTATTCCATGCAGAGCATTCTACTCACTGTGTATCTGCGACAGATGATGGACGACCCACGATCAAATAGACCGCTGTTTCTCATTCACGCCTCGCTCTCTTGCATAATTATATTGAAGGATTAGTTATTAGTTCTATTGGCCTCCTACTTCGTACATACAAAGTATATACACGAGGAGGTAAATCGACAATATTTTTTTTTTGTTTCAAACATGCGTTAAACCCAGATGAGGTGGCGAAACTCCAATCTACTTGCGAAGAGGAGGGGGTTGACGTTCTTGATGACGAGCCTGGTTGGTACCATCTCTATGGTTACTCGTGATTTTGGTATGTTTGTCTTATGCTTCCATATTATATTCTACTCAGTGTTCATTGATCATCTGCGACAGATGGTTCATGAAATTTAGGAGGGAATGGAAGGTAATAACTATGGCACAGAGACTGTTTATCTATATACACAACGGTATTGCATGGGTATAAAACAGATGGTGCACAGAGGGTACAATTAATTAAACAATAGATTGTAACTGATGAATCATGTGACATGTAATCCCTTCGGGAATTCAATATTCAAGTTGAACATTGAATATTGAACCTTGAACGTGTTTACAACTCCCTCCTTGCTGCTGTACCTTTTGGTCACAGCCTTATACCTCGATAGCGCACTAAACGGAAACAGTCTATACATCCCTAATGGAAGCGTCACAAGTTCAGACCACTAATGAAACCCAGGAACGTCCTCGCAAACGCGTTACCCGCAGAGGAATGGCATTCGGTTGGCCATTAGAAGAAGAAAAGGTCGTAAAACTTGGAGAAAGACTTTTTCCTCGTACACCGGACATCTCTCCAGAACAATACGACAAAGCAGACTCCGCTCGATTTGATAATACCCTTATTTATTTTACAAGATTATCTATTCGGTCTATCGGTCTGTCTCCTAGCTCGTCCATGCCAAGTATACTCACCAGGGAGTAGAAAGACCATGTTTATACTTTCGTTCAAGCATCTGCTAGACCCGGATGAGGTGGCGAAACTTAAATCTATCTTTAAAGAGGAGGGGATTGACTTTATTGACGGCGAGCCTGGTTGGTACCACCGCTACGGTTATTGGTATGTTTCTCTTTTCTCCCAAGGAGAGCACTCTACTCACTGTGCATCTACGACAGATGATGGACGACCCACGATCAAATAGACTGTTGTTTCTCATTCACGTTTCGCTCTCTTGTATATCATCTCGTTCCTCTTCTTTTCTATATACGCCACGTTCCTGCGCGTTACTGTTCTGCTGCGATGTTTCAATGTAATTTACAAGATTTTCCCGTTGGTTTTCCACATACAGTACACATCGGCTCTCCCCACCTTCAACGCACTTTGAACGTTGAACTCTTTCACCATGTCAGCATAATATAGCGCACACTCCTTGCTACCGTTCCTATATTTCTGCAGCTTATGGGTTGGATAACCATAGTACGCATGTGTAGTACTCGACGTCGAGTTCAACATGAGCGGTGGACC